AGACAGGTAGGAAGTAGTAGTAGAGAGAGGAGGACGGAGAGACGACTACTACTTACGGTAGGAGAGGAGGTAGTATAGTAGAGAGAGAGGAGGACGGAGAGACACTTACTTAGTAGAGAGAGAGAGAGAGGGTGGAATACTAGAGAGAGAGAGAGAGAGAGGAGGGGAGGCCTTCTTGTTGTCTCCCTTGTCGTGTTGTCAACTCCTTGTCTCATTAACGAGCAAGGCTTCAAACCAAAATTGTAGTTAACAAGGACAAAAAGGGATTTGGAAGTATCCTCTCCCCCCCTTAAACAAGAACAAATACTGGCCTTTTGTTTTGGTGGGGCATGTTTGGATCGGGAATAAGAAGCCCACCCCCATTATTCCTTCCCTCTCCAAATCCCGACAAAAACCAAACCAAGAGAGAGAAAGGAACAAGGACACGACAAAAACCCTCTTAGAGAGAAAGTAAGAATTCACGCAGAGAAGACAAAACCCTCCGAGATAAAGCTAGAGAGAGAAAGAGAGACGACAAAACCCACCTAGAGAGAGAAACAATAACAATAAGCCTTTTCTCTCGTAAATTCCATATTCCTCTGCGTCCCGAACGACACCAAGACGATCCAGACAAAACGCCTCTCCCCTTCCTTCTTCCCCCTGTCCTCTTCCTCCATTACTGCTCTTTTTCTTTTTTTTAAATTAAAACCAATTGAAGGAGAAAACCCTTCTCCCCATTTTAAAGCCCCTCTTCACCTCAAAACCCTAAAACCAGAAAGAGAGAGAAAAACCATAGAGAGGGAACCGAGAGAGAGAGGTTTTGTTTTCATGGCTGGGATAGCACAGGACGACGGGTCGTCCTCTGTATCTTCCTCGCCCCTGCAAATTTTCTCTCTCATGTCGATTTCGCCGGGCTTGGGCTCCCCATACGCTTGGCTCCGCAAGCTGAAATCGGAGGAGCGCGGCCTCTGCCTCATACAGTTGCTGCTGTCGTGCGCCACCCATGTCGCCACCGGCAGCATCGACAACGCCAATCTGTGCCTCGACCACATCTCGCTGCTCGCTTCGCCTGACGGCGACTCCATGCAGCGGGTCTCTGCGTATTTTACAGAGGCCCTGGCTGCCCGCGCCCTCAAGGTCGCATGGCCCGGCCTCTACAAAGCCCTCCATGCCACCAACCTCCCCCAGCCGCTGCCCCACGCCCGCCGCCTCTTCTTCGATCTCTGCCCCTTTTTGAAGCTTGCCTTTCTTTTGGCTAACCAGGCGATTCTCGAGGCCATGGAAGGGGAGAAGATGATCCATGTCATCGATTTGAATGCGACTGAGCCTGCGCAGTGGCTCGCATTTTTGCAGGCGCTGAGCCTGCGGCCTGGGGGGCCTCCTCACGTCCGCATAACCGGCGTCAACGATAGCAAAGAGGTGCTCGACCACACCGCTTCGCGTCTGGCCGAGGAGGCGGAGAGGCTCGATGTGCCATTTCAATTTAACCCTGTTGTGGCCACTCTCGAGTCGCTGGACCCCGACGCATTGCGAATCAAGTCCGGCGAGGCCTTGGCCGTGTGCTCTGTGCTGCAGCTCCACGCGTTGCTCGCACCACCCCCTCGTGGGTGCGGGGACGAGGCCTCACCTCTTGGTGTGCGCAGGCCAAGGCAGCAGGGGACTCTCGGAGAGTTGCTCCAAAAGGAGCAACACCACCCATTCGGGCAGAGCCCCACCACCGAATCAAGCACCACAACCTCTCTCTATACCCAAACCAGGGTCGAAGGGCTTCTGGCCTTCCTTCGAGCCGCATCGCCTAAGATCATGGTGCTAGTGGAGCAAGAAGCGAGCCACAACGGAGCCACTCTGGTGGAAAGGGTGGTCGAGGCCCTGCATTTTTACGGGGCGTTGTTCGATTGCTTGGAATCAACGGTGGGGCGAGCATCGCCAGAGCGCCGTAGGGTCGAGAAACACTTATTTGGGGAGGAGATAAAGGACATAGTTGGGTGTGAGGGAGCTGAGAGGAAAGAGAGGCATGAGAGGCTAGAGAGATGGGTAGGGAGGTTGGAGGGGTGTGGGCTCGTCAGGGCTCCATTGAGTTATGTGGGTGTGGGTCAAGCCAGAAGAGCTGTTCAGGCCTGGGGTTGTGAGGGTTATGGTGTGAGAGAGGAGGGGGGCTGTGTGCTCATGTGTTGGCAAGATAGGCCTCTTTTCTCTGTTTCCTCATGGAGATGTTGATAATGGTGGTGGTTAAGGTGGTGTATTGTAAAGAGTGAGGACTGTGTTATTACTCTGATAAAAGAAGAAACAAAAATGAAAGATGGGTTTTTTTTTGTCCCTTTCTTTCCATTTTGATTTTTTTCTTTCCTTTTTTTCTCATTTCATTGAATGCTTTTGCCCACCTCCATTCATTTGATTCAGTGGGCCTGTATCCTCTCTCTCTTGCTCCTTAGTTTTTGCTTCTGATTTAATGGCCATCTCTCTCTCAATTTAATGCTTTTGTTGTGATTTATTTAAGTTAATTATGGATGTAGTTTCTGAGGCCTAGGTTACCCGAAAACAAAGTAAAGCCTTACCTCGAATCCTCGTCTAGAATGCTTTACGCATAGAAAATTGCCATGATAGCTTTAAAATCAATTTTTAACTCTGACTATGAATGAAATTTAAAGCTAAAATAATGTATACATCTTGTAGATTCATGAACACTCATTTTTAGGACAAAATAGACGTTAGATAATGTGTTACAATATATACGATTTTTAAAACTTAAATTTTAATTTTTATTTACATCTACAATGGCCAAGGTAGAAGTGATTAATTTGAAGGTTTTCCCACACCATAACATCTATTTTCGGTGAGTTTTAAGGTGAGGTTTTACTTATTTTGATAAGGTTGCAGCCCTATCAAAATACTTTCCTTTGATTATTTTGTTCTTATTTCTTTTCTTGTTTAAATTTTGAATTATCTTTTCTTGGATGATTAGTTTTGAATTATCTCTCTCTCTCTTGAATTGAAATGAGGCCTTTCATAGCAGTGTCTTGACATGTTCTCTGTGCCCTCCCCCAAAATTTTGACCAGTTTACGCATGTTTTCTTCTCTGCAAATGCGGACCATTGTTTTGGATGAAGCCCATGTTTTGTTTTGTTTTCTACTTCCTCTTTGTTTTTTATGTTTCTTTGTTTTTCCTCTCGAAGGCGGTTCAAAGCTTTGGTTTTCCCTTCTGTCTTTTTGGCGTATTTGCAATTGCTTGTTTGGCATGTTTTGAATTTTTGACCAGCACAAGATAAAAAAATTTGTTTTGATTAACACTCCTAACTTTTTCTTAGAGTTTGGGCTACATTTGTCGGTGCCCTAAAATTGATGCCCATATTGATTGTATTCTACAAGCGTGTGAACTGTGCTTTTGCTGGTGCATATTGTGTATCTACTCCCTTGCTTAAAAAAAAACCTATATGATACTTTTTTTTTCTAAAATTTTGAAAACCATATAAAAATTACCATATGATTATTTTCAAAATAAGAAATTGAATTTGAGTTTTGAATTACTTAGATCTTGCCCCTTCAAAAATTAGACGGTTTGTATTCAATATTGAGGCATTAATTTTTTATAGTACATAAAAACTTTATTTCAAGAAATTTCTTTCACTGAGATTAGTCTATGAATTGTGGATTTTATATCTCTAAAAATTTGAGATCTAAGAAGTATCTGGAGCATTAGTTTTGTCTGGGAGAATGGCATGCAGCTTTGGTAATAGTACTACCGAGCCCCATGGTAAGATCTCTGACTCCATTCTCACCAAAGAGTAGGGGCTTAAATCTCCAGTGACTTTACCACTTTGATAATGAGGTTTGGGTCGTGGTGGTAGCATGACTTGTGCCCCAGCTAAGGTCTATGTTTGTATTCTCACCTAATGCATTCAAAAACCGCTAACAATTTAAAAAACAAGTAAAGGCTAATTATCCCCACTGAATTGCCCAAAAAAAAAAAAGTTTTGCTTGAGGGAGTAACTAGATAGCATACTTCCATGGGAGAACTTTACTTTTGTAATGCAAAGTCAGCTAAATTTGGTGGAGTTTCTGCCGTTTTGGAACAATGAGACTGTTGGTTGTCCTTGCCCATTTGCTCCAAATTTAGCAGCAGCAGCAGTTATCATGGAGCATGAATGACCGCATAATTACGTAGGTTAGAGTACTAAATGACTATAATCGTTGGATTGACTGAGTAATAAAATCGTTGTGATCTTGTCAAAAAAAAATATAAGAGTCAGACCCCTTCCAACGGATGCAGCCTTGTTCTACATAGGATACATGTTTATTCTAACTTATGGATAGGGAGAATCGCCGTTCATATAATTACAAGAAGTCAATTCATTTCCCACTCTTCATCTAATTTTTTATAACTTTGCATCCTTAATAGCTATGGCTCTTGGGCTGGGTTGTGCCGGTGTGGGTTTGTGGGTCTGCATATGTGATAGGTTGATCGGTCTCCGGTTTGGGTTTGAGTCTAGCTTCTAGGCTTGATAGGTCCGATCCATGTCCAAAAATATGGAACAGAGAGGTGGGTCAGGTCAGGTTGGGTCAGATCTGGCCCAAACTAACCTATCCCAGTACGTTCTATATGTGTATAAAATGTATGTAACATATATTATTTAATTTTTTATATTTTGATGCAAATTGAACCTAATCCAATGGGTCAGTTCCAATCAACTTGGACCCGACTAGGTGAGCGTCGAGTCTTGGTCCAACCTTAGACTTCTCGGGTCGGGTTTGGCAGGATCCAACGAAGACAAGACCTAACCTGACCCATTTACAACCCTAGTCTCGGGATTTCGAAAATCAAACCGGAATAGTCAGTTTTCCTTATTTGAATGGAACCAACGTCGGCCGACCCAAAATCAGTTAGTTGCTCGTTATTTATTTGCTTTACAAACCTAAATATAAAAATTCAATTTTCTCGCGTTTCTTAGCTAAATGCTCTCTAATTTATCAGAAAATGCTCATCTCTCATTGATCTACAAGAGTCCTAAAAATCTAATATTTTAACGAGATTGGGAGAATAATAACACATTTAACTCAAAACCTTGATACGCATTACATTGACTTCTTCCAAATTTGTCAATCAAAACCATGATTCATGTGTCAAAAAATTTGTAGGATGGTCGTGCGTGCTCATCTCTGTGTGATTGAAAATTCTTTGAATTGCGAAACCACAAAGAAAATAATATTATGCAAACTTATAGTTAAATTGAAAATCAACCATAACACACATCAAGATTTACGTGAAAAACCTTTCAAAAAAAAAAAGAAACCATAGGGCACCACAAATAAAATCCATTAAGCAATAAAAAAAATTATAATAGTTTTTCTCAAGCCGATGGAATATAGCTTGAGGATCTAGTAGTAAGGAAAAATAAATAAATATAGAGTTGCTTTTGTGAGATTAGGTTTCTATCCCTTACCCCTTCTCAAAAGAGTAATGAACATCATCTTTTCAGATCTCATTGGAGAATTTCAAGCTTCAACCGCACTTGAGAATCTCATGTGAGACTAGTGGAAAGGAAGCAATCACCTTATTAAATTTTTGCCCTTAAAAAAAAACCTAAAGAGAAATTAAGCTATGGACAATCCTTTTGAGCTAAGTTTCTAGATCCCTGAACCTAAACCTATGAACCTAGGCCTAATTATGCCTTGATCCTAAAATCTCCCATCTCTTATAGGAAAATAACATAGTTTAACCTAAGAGACCACACTACCCTAATTAGAATAATCCATAGCAGGCTTTGGACCATCATGAACCCACACTTCTTAGACGACCAATACACCTAAAGAAGCAGAAACAAGTCTCTTCCCAACAGACTTCCCTAGGTGTAACATACCTAATCAATACAGACCCCTACAAAACCTTCCTAATCATGCTAAGCCCACATAATTTAGCCGAAATCCACCTAGTTTAACCTAAGTACTCCTAATTCAACCTTGAGCACATCTTAAAACCTACTAAAATTGCCTTAATCAATTTTCTAGACCATAACGTACTTTAGTTAGGCCCTAATTCCCACATCATAGCCCACAATAACCCAAAATTATGATTAAGGAAACCGAAATAGAAAGAATCTAAGCTTAATTATGGGGCGCATATGAGATTATTTGCCAAAATCCTCCCACAACAGTAAAGAATCCTCACCTAGGTGAACATTTAGGGCATGGCAAAGAATCTATTGCAAGTAGACCATTTTAATTTAACGACATGCAGTATGTCGCTGGCAACATGCATCATGTCTCCAGCAACACGCGATAAATACCCTCACTTAGCTGCCCATTGGGAGATTTTTTTTCAGAGAAAATTAACTAAACTACAATGAATTGTGTCCAAATCCTGTAACCATAAATTTAACCTCTTAAATCCTAGTTTTGGCTCCTTGAACCTGCATTCTAAGGAGTACCAACCTGATAACCCAGTCTAAATCCTTAAGAAAAACCTATGCCTGATCCACATATCCATGATCCTTAGCTTCATTACTAACCTCACTACAAATTCCCTTACCTCAAGTTGATATATCAAGATCTAGTTCCTAAACCCAAGTCATTAGTCTTTAAAGTTCCTTTATGGTGAGAGGAGCAAGAACATGGTTGATTTGAGTCAATGGGTCCAGATTCAAGTTAGTTTCATTATTTTCATTATATTTTAAATAATTTGTCAAGTTTATAATGTTACTTTCTAAATTCTTTTGTTGTAATTCTATAGTTTAAAAGCATTATTTTGTTGAACTCTTAGCCAGCCCCTTAGGCGATCCGCGGAGGATCAGCATGCAAGGTCGGTTTTCTTTGGACCGTAATTTAATAGAGCCCTATTCTCTACTATTTGAATGACTTGATCTTATTTAGAGTTCAAACTTGAGAAAGGATCACTTCAAATTCCTCACTCGAATTTGGCTATAAACAAAACACCTCAACCTCTCTATTTTTTTAGTTCACCATCCAAAAAAAAAAACCAATTTTATAATTAGAAATTGTTACAAAATTTTTTTTCCTTTCCTCATTATTTCCCTTGCCAATTTAGATTTTCTAAAATAACTGACTCCTTATGGGATTACCATTACAAAAACCACATGATGCCTTCTAATAGATTGGTAACAGACTTCTTTTTCAAGATTTCGTAAAGGTTTTCTGTTCTGGAGAGAGTTATCTTTGATCTTGTAGGCACCCTATTCCAGACTGAGGGAGTTTCAGGAAATTGAAAACCCTGAAACTATAGGAACACCTTTGAGAACCCAAACCATAGACTTTAGATGCACCCAGAACCCCAAGTTAATCAACCTAGACACCCAAAAGCCTAA